TAGGAACGCCGTGCATACTCCTGCGCCTAAAGAAGTCGGGAACGCACTTCCTCCAGAAACTCATCCCGGTTGGCGAGAAGCTCATCGACTGCCGCAGTCTCAGCACGACCAGGCACATAAGGCAGCATGTCCGGCGACGCACGGCCATAGACCACGGTGAATGGCGATGTCCGAAGAGTCGAATGGTAAGCGGTGTTGTAACAGAACTCCGCCCAAGGAAGCCAGTCGAGCCACTCGCGAGGACGATCACCGGTGAGGCAGCGAAGGTACATGGCAATCGTCTTGTTAACAGCCTTAGACTGTCCATCAGTTTGAGGATGGAAGGCTGTACTCATCTTCAACCGCACACCAGCCTGTCGGAAGAGGTCGCGCCACACATGGCCGGTAAAAACGGGGTCGCGATCACTGACAATGGAGTCCGGAAAACCATGAAGGCACACAATGTTGTGGAAGAAGGCTCGAGCCACCGACGCAGCCGTGTAAGGGTGCCCCAACGGAATGAAGTGTGCGTACTTGGAGAACCTGTCGACGACGGTGAGGATGACACTCTTGCCATGGACCTTAGGAAGGGCCTCGACGAAGTCCATTGCAATGTCCGCCCACGCACGAGACGGCACGGGCAGCGGCTGTAGAGACCGGCTGGGTGTAGAGTCTTCGTCTTGTTGCGCTGGCATGTGGAGCACGCCCGCACAAAATCGCGGACGACGCGACGATCATGTTCGACGAAGAACTCGGTGCGGAGGCGCTGCAATGTCTTCTGGATGCCCTCGTGGGCGCCAGCTGGAGCACTTCGTCAAGCACTGACGAGGAGGCCGGCACGAAGACGCGCCCCTTGTGGAGCACGAGCCCCTCGCGTAGCGCCCAAAGACGCACCCCTTGTGGAGCACGAGCCCCTCGCGTAGCGCCCAGTCGTCGCCGTAGTCACCGGCTGCCACAGCGTCCCGGCGCGCGCGCAGCTCGACGTCGTCCTCAAGCTCACGTCGCAGCTCGTCGAACAGCTGGAACGTGGGTACAGAGAGCGCTGCCACGGTTGTCTCCGGACCGTGCAGCAGCGCCAACAGAGGTTCGTCGCCATCCTGTCGAGACAATGCATCGGCGGCGACGTTGAATCGTCCTGGTCGGAACTCAACCCTGAAATCATAACCAATTAGTTTGCTGATCCAGTGATGCTGTGGGATGGTGGACAGGCGCTGGTCGAGGAGGAACTTCAACGCATAATGATCTGTGCGCACGACGAAGGCCCGCCCCCAAAGGTATGGGCGCCAGTGGCGAACGGCCTGCGCCAGCCTGATCAGCTCCCGTTCATATGCCGCCACCTTCAGGTGCCGCGCCGCAAACGGCCGGCTGAAGAACGCGATGGGGCCTGCCCCTTGATGCAAGACAGCACCAAACCCGGAGCCCGACGCGTCGCAGTCGACCACAAATTCCCGGTCGAAATCTGAAAGATGCAGAACCGGGGCCGCGGACAGTGCCGACTTCAAGGCCGTGAATGCTGCATCGGCAGCCTCTGTCCACAGGAACACGTTCTTCCGCAAGAGACTTGTCAATGGCGCCGCGAGAGTGCCATAATCCTTGATGAACCACCTATAATACCCCGCCAAGCCGAGGAATCCGCGGAGGCCACGCCCCGATCGTGGCTGCGACCACGATTGCACCGCTGCGACTTTGGATCCGTCCATGGAGACACCTTCATGCGAGATCACATGGCCCAGGTACTGAACTGATGTAGCAGCAAATGAACACTTGGACTTTTTGAGGTGCAGCTTGTGGGCGCGCAGGACATCCAGGACCGCGCGTAGCCGCAAGTCGTCCATGTGGCGCTGTAGACGAGGATGTCGTCGAAGAACACAAGCACGCAGCGTCGGAGGAACTGCTTCAACACTAGGTTCATGAGCGCCTGGAACGTGGACGGCGCGTTGGAGAGCCTAAAAGGCATGACCAAAAATTCGAAGTGGCCGTGGTGAGTGCGGAACGCTGTCTTAGCCACATCGTCAGGGTGAACTCGCACTTGATGATATCCCGAACGGAGATCGAGCTTTGTAAAGAACTTGGCGCCATGGAGCTCATCGAGTAATTCCTCAACAACTGGTATGGGAAATTTGTCCTTCACGGTGGCCGCATTGAGGGCGCGGTAGTCCACGCAAAATCGGCACGAGCCATCTTGTTTCTTGACTAGCAACACCGGTGCCGAGAACGGAGAAGTGCTGCTGCGGATCGTGCCTTGCTGCAACATCTCCTCACATTGTCTTTCCAGCTCATCCTTCTGGAGCTGAGGATAGCGATAGGGACGTACTGCCACGGGCTCTGTGGACGACTTGAGATGGATCCGGTGATCACACGCACGAGCCGGAGGCAGGCCCGTCGGCACCATGAAGACATCAGCATATGCGTCCAGCAGGCACTCGAGCAATGCAGGCTCGGTCCCCTTGGCCGAGAGCCCCCGGGCGGCGAGGAGGCCACCTGTCGGAGGAAGGGCCGCGGACGGCGAGCCGACACCCCGCCACAGCACGCGGCGGCCGTGGTATGTGAACGCCATGCACAGGTTATCAAAGTCCCAGAGTATCGGGCCTAGCGTGCGGAGCCATGTGACGCCGAGTACCATGTCGTAGGAGTCCAACGGAATGGAGTAGCAGTCAACCTTGAAAGTTTCCCCGCCGATCCGGAGGTCGACGTCACGAGCCAAACCGCGACACATGACGCGGTCACCGTTGGCCACGACGACATGGGCACCTCCGCTGTCGTGGAACTGAAGTTCAGCGAGTCGTGCAGCGGCCCCACTGATGAAGTTGTGTGTCGAACCCGAATCCAGGAGCGCGGTAAGCTCATGTGCGCCCACTCGAACGCTAAGCTGCATGGTGTCCGCCGTCCGGATACCGGTGATCGCCGAGAGGGATATTAGGGGCTTGTCCGGGCCGAACGAGTTATCAGCCGAAGGCGTAACTGGTGCGTCGGCGGCGTCGTCCGGCTCCTCGACGATGTAATCGGCGGCCTCGAGAAAGAACAGTCGGGCACACTTATGGCCCCGGACGTACGGTTCATCACAATTATAGCAGAGGCCATGCTTTCTGCGCTCCGCCATCTCATCCGGTGAGAGCCGCTTGAATGCCCTCTGCGGTGTCGTCGTGGAGGAAGAGGCCGCTGCTGAGGTTGCCCCGGACGAAGCAGGTGGATGGGCGGCGCCCCCGTTAGCCGACGGCGCTGCTGGGCAGGCAGAGCAAGCGGAGCCGGCGCGTTCCGACGCTCGTATGCGCGCGCCAGATGCATGGCGCGCTGCAGGTCCTGCGGGTCGTGAAGCTCCACATCGACGCGGATGTGACTCGGCAGCCCACCCGTGAAAAGCTTCGCTTTTTGACCCGGAGAGAGACGCCCGGCGTGCGTCGCTCGTGCCTGGAACGCCTCCATATAGGCATCCACCGTTGAAGTGAAGGACAAGCGCGCCAGGTCCGAAAGATGGTTCGTGTTGAGGGGAGGACCGAAGCGCTGCTGGCACAGCGTGCGAAACTCCTCCCATGGCGGCCGGCCTGCGTCGGCTTCGAGGACCAAGTACCACTGCTGAGCAACTCCGGTGAGGTGGTATGATGCGAGCCAGACTCGGTCCGCATGGAGCGTCTGGTGGCCAGTGAAGAATTGTTCGCACTTGTTCAACCAACCGAGGGGATCCTCCTTCCTGTCAAACGTCGGAAACACCAACTTGTGATACTCGGGCACCACCTGTCCCTCCAGCTCTGTTGGTACATGGACGCGGGACGTAGGGGATGCCATGGGCGCGGAGGGCATCGGCACCGACCCCCGCAAGATGGACTCCAGGGACGGCACGGGGGATGGCGAGTGAGGAAAGCATATCTGGCCGATCGGAACACCGAACGGATGAGGCGCCGAGACGGGCAGCGTAGTCGTTGCAGGCGCCGAAGCCAGTGGAGCCGATGGCGCCGCAGTGGGCACCGAGGACGACGTGGGCGGCGCGGGGGCCCACTCTGAGATCCGCGGCCCCGACGCCACTGGAAGGGCCAGGGTGGCATCCAACCCAGACAAAACCGGCAGGGCGCGGCCGTCCTTCGCGGACACGCGCGTCGCTAAGTCCCCGATGTGGAAGTTCATCACCGCCATCTGGTTCTGGAGCCCTTGGATGGCTTTGGTGAAGGCGTTGAGCGCGTCCGTAGGGACGGCCGTCATTGGTGGGGGCGGTGGGGGCGGTGGTGGCATGGTGGCGAGCGGAAGCGATGGGGCAATGGCGGCGGAGGAGATGGTGGGCGTGGCGGAGGAGAGGACCGGCGGCATGGAGCCACCAGCGGTGGAAGGCCTGGTCGCCGACGAGGTCCCGGACGTGGCCATGATCTCTGATACCAGGTTGTTACGGGGGCGGGCTTGGCTTCGGAGGAAGTACGGAGGGGATAAAGGGGCGTGAGAGCGTGAGGAGGTTCGGCGGACTGGAGCCGTGATTGCGGCGACAGTAGATGACGATGAACAGTAGATGACGAGGAATAGGGGGACGCCGGGCGCCCAAGGGTGACTTGTAGTCACAATCCCAGGCTGCCTTTCCATTAACCAAGAGTTGGATTCTTATACAATTGACTCTAACAACTTGACGCTAAAAATAAGGATTCTAGTTGCTAACAAACTCCCTCTAAGACTCCTAACAATGCTAACAAACCAAATCTTGGCCGGACACACCCACTGGCCGGACCTGTTTAGCCCACCCACGGCTCCTCTCATACGTGACCCCAACCATAACAATATCAGACAGAAAAAAAACGAAAATTGAAGTGGCAGATAATAATTTATTTTTAATATAATTTTAGCATGAATCAGAAAAGTTTGGATTTAATCATGTTTGCTCCCATCAACAAAAACATGATTATTGCATAAGTAGTTAGAACAGAGACACTGTTACCGCCAGTTTCTTAGAAAGCAACTTTATTGGAAGAGAAAATGGACTTCTCCCTAATTTCAAAAGGTAGAGAAAACTACTAGAGCTCTTCTTTTCATGTTCCTTTTAAAGTTCAAAGTGATCCATAGAGGCTTACTTGCACCCAATCAAAGAATTCATTTGGAGTTTTTTTAAATGCCAAACTTGTTGCTAAAAATCGCAGTGGAAGACTCTTCAATATGAACACCTGGGGAAGCAAAGAAAACGATCAGTTTACTCCAGTAGTCCAGTCGCCCAGCCAATGTAGACACACACCACAAGATTTCTTTGATCCAATTAGAGACATTCCACTTAAGTAGCACAACCATCATTATCAAAAAAAAAAGCACAGCCATAACCAATAAGCTAAGCACCGAATGGAAAATACAGACCTAACGACATAAAAAATAAAACATGTAAAATGAAATGGAAAACTAAATAAGCTTAGCATGGAAGTCAGAATGACTCACCCCGGCATATGAAACAAATTTAGGGATTTTAGTCACATCTTTCGGGCCCTCAGAGTATACACTTGCACCAATGAAGATCAATTTCGAGACCTGTGAAACCAAGCTTAAATTAGCTAATTGGAATATAAAACTCTCAAACTTGTAAGATCTGTCTTGTATGAAGGCTTGTGGCATAGTAGTCAAAATTCACATAAAAGGAAGCACTACAGATACCTCAGTTTAATCTGTTGTATTACTCTGTAGTCTGCAGTACTAAAGAAATATAGACAACAAAACTATTTTGAGCATGTACCGCTTCCGGGTAGTTGACTGAAGAATCAATGGCAACAGCAGCACCAAGGCTGGGCCCGACTAACACCATAGGCCTTTTGATGTATGATTTCCAGAACTACACATACAAGATAAGTTGTAAGGGTCACATCACTGTAACTAAGAAAATAACAGATCAATGTAACCATTAGGTAGTAGCGTCGGTTCACGACAACTCGACAAGAACTGCCTGGTCTTAATTGGCTGAACTGTTAGGCATAGGGAGGAGTGGTGGGTGTGGTGTCATACTCTCTGGTACGTTGTCTTTTAATGAAATGATAAGCAGCTCTCCTAGGTGTTCGAGAAAAAGATACAAAAGTGGAAAATAAACTGAAAACTATTGTAGCAATTCAGGAGAAAGTTGTGTATTTTATAACATGCCTGGCAAGGACGTGGTTCAGTTATTCTCATGCTAAGTAAGTTGTTAATCTCATGCTAAGTAAGTTGTTGAAATCAGTTACTATAATGCTCTAATGTTATAAGCAAGTTGTTCAAATCAGCTACTATCAGTACTTGAGTAGCATTCTAGCGTTTGCCATATTAGAATCAGAAAATTAGGTCACCACAAGGAAAAGGACACACAATGTAGCAATTAGCAAAAGGTACAGCATCGGTGATGGTACATATATATAGTACCTGATAAAGATGCTCGCGTTTGGATGCAACATCACATGGTGGCCGTGTTTCTACGAATGAGACAATCAACGATATTACAAGGGGCCTACAAAGTACGAAATTAAAACCTTACCAGGTATAGTAACCAAACCAGATACCTAAATCAGAGAAGCCCCAACCAAGGATGTCCACAGCCCAAGCCTCCAATCCGGCCTCCTCAAGCAAAGGGTAGGTGTATCTCCATTCTAGAACAGAACTGTAGACAATACTTTAAAATGGTCTACACTAATAGTCACATACTCACATAGCAGAAATACAGCATTCTATTTTGGGACAGGCTCCAAGACATCGATGATGAGCAGCACTGAAACCAGACCTTTCTAGTTGAACCATGAAATTTGCTGTGGAATGGAACTCACCTGTCGAAGCCATGCAGCAGCACGACTGGATCAGCGTCTTGTTGCTGCTTGAGCGGCCTGACACAGCTGCTCGGTATTGCGCTCCCCGAGAAACCGGTCTGAAGATGAAGATAGGATAAGTTCCGGCTTCACAGCCATTGCGCATTGAGCGTACGACACAGCACAGTAAAATCGGGAGGATCTGTCTAGCGAGCAACGGGTTGATTTAGCCCTTTTCATCAACTGAATTTTGTCTATACGCTTACATTATCTTATAGCTATATTTACACTAACTTATTACTATATTTACAATGATTTTTTCAGTCTAATTTATCAGAGAGAGTGATGTAATTTGGGAATAGCATAAATATGTGTCAAATTTTTCAAAAAAAATACAAATTATTTGTATGGATTTCAGACACCAAACATATATGTCAAATTGTTCACAAAATTCAAAAAAAATATACAAAATCCACCCAAAACTGCTGCAACCGGAAGGGGCGGCGCCGGAGACGCCCGTGCACACGCGTCCTAAGGCAAAACGAAACGGCGCCGGCCTCTCACCCGCAAAGAAACGGAGGGAGCAGCGCCTCTGCTCCACTCTTGGTCAACCGGCGCGGACCCCCACGAGCAGTCCCTAACACGCTGCACTACTCGGCGGTGGACACGTAGCATTTCTCAATCGGGAGAAATTGGCTCGCCTGAACGGGGACGCGCTCGATTCGTTTGGCGAGGCGGATGGCGGCGCCGTCGCGGATGCGCTCCACCGCCTGGGGAAGGAAGGACGGGAACCCGGCCGCGCTGGTGCCTCTGGCAGCGGCGCCGGCCCCGTCCGGGGCGGAGGCGGCGGTGGAAGCCGCAACCCTGAGGCGGGACCTGGGCGACGCGGCCAGCGGCGGTAGCGGCAGCGCCGGTAGGGAGGAGGAGGAGGTGAGGAGCAGCGGCATTTGGCCGGGTTTGTAGTTTAGCGGTGCGCTTGCCCGCGCGCTGGACGGTCTCGACTCTCGAGGCTTGGAGCTGTGTGCCATGCGCTCTCCGCTGTTATAGGGTGCGAAGACGGTGGAGGCCGCGTGGCATCGTGTGGTGCCACAGTGCCACGGGCTAGGCACGCGCATGTTATTTTTTTTAACACGAACGAGGCGAAAAATTGGGAAAAAGAAAGGATACTCTAGTATTTATTTCGATTCACATAGATTGCTGCGGATTAAGGTAGAAATTAAATTAATTTACACCTACTTGTATTGTGAGTTTTCTCGAAGTTAGAAATGTCCCCTCTACTTGTCTGTTGCAAAAATCGACTTGATGCGGATGGCATTCTGACGTGGATGACATTTTGACCTGGTTTAGAACATCTCTGATAGTCTTTCTTAAATTCAATTTTTAAATTATTATTTAAAAAGTCATTTAACAAAATCTCATTCTCTATATGTTTTCACCCTTCAAAATTGTCTTATCCATGGGAAGAGTAGCTCGGCGGCAGTAGAAGAAGCTCAGGGAGAAAGAGGATGAGAGGACCACGGGGAAGAGGAGCTTAGCAGCGGCAGAAGGATGAGCACAACAACAACGCAAGAAGCAGGACCTCGACGATGAGATGCGAAGGAGGAGCAATAGAGGAAGTAGCGGAACTGTGATGGGAAAAAGCTTCATTCATGTTGTTTCCGAGAATCGGCTCAACTGTGCAGCCGTGAGAATCAACCACCAAGCACCGTGTCACGAGGCATGACTCGCTTTTTTCACGAGAATTGGCCGCAGAAGCGGCTCCAAACATGGCTTCAAATCTCTATATATCAAACCAGTTTGCTATGGCCGCCAACCACAATAGCCATGGTAGCAAATTGATTTTGTCCGGTTGGATTGCCGCTTCGACGTTCAGATTTTGTTTTTGCTACTGTTCTGTTTTGTGCGGTCTGGAGCCTTCCTTCATTTACTCTCCATCTCTTTGGTGTGCCCGTCCTCATCCTCATTCACCCCCTCGTCCCCTCCGTCGCCTGCGGCAGCGGTACCTTCGCTCCTCCCTCCTCAGCCCTAGATCTGCTCTTTCCTTCCTCCCTCCCTCTCCCTCTTCTCAGGCAGGCAGTAGGCGTGGCGTGCTGGGGCAGCAGCGGCGCCACCCGGCAGCGCTGGCGACGCGCTGGCCCGCCCTGACCGACACGGCCAGCAGCGGCCTGCGCCGCCCCTGGCGCGGCGCGCGCCGCCGTGGCGTTAAGTGGCGGCGCTACCTCCCCGGCCAGCAGTTAGGCCCCACGCTGCACCTCTCGCCACGCCCCGGCGCTCGGCCGGTTCCGCCTTGAAGACACAGTGAATGTGGCCTCCCTACCTTCATCGTCCTCCCTTTCCCTCGCCGGTGCCGGGTGCAAAGGCGTCGATCGTCTGGCTTGTCGGCCTTCTTTGCTAGGGTCGATCCGGGGCCTCCATGGCGGATCCGTCTTTTTCCCCACCGGATCTGTGTAGACCACCAACATTGAAGCACGGGAGCCACGGACGACGGTGGCATGGGGGGGAGGGGCGCACCGCCACACGATGAGAGAGGATCGCCTAGTGCGCCGGCACCATCACTCGACCTCGATAGGTCGACGTTGGTCCTCCGGTGCTGTGGGCCGCCGTCTTGGGTGCCAACCACACCGAAGTTGCTCCTCCTCATTGCTTGTCCGCCTTGGTGTCGGTGCCGAGACGCAGCTGCGGGCGCGTGGGATGCGGTGTCTTGGCGGTGGCCGTGGCGGCCGTGTCATGCTGTTTTGTTGGGTGCTTTTCTTGTCCTACAGCTTCCGAGGTGAGATGCTTCATTGAGTTCTACGTCTTTTGGGGAGCAAGATGGTATGCTGAGCTAATTTCAGGGAAATAGTACAGTCCAACCAGTACATGTTAGTGCAAAGTGCAAATAATCCATTATGCTACACATATGAATCTATTACAGTTCTGCATGAGCAAGGACAAAATGATATTGATGACTGAAGAATTGCGTTGTGCTTGCATACAATTTTCTTTAATATACTTTTAACGATCCTACTTATGTATATTTTAAAAAAAATTGAGCTCAAATATGCAATTTGCTGTGCGCTGTTCATATTGGTTAGCTAACTGAGTTACATATACCTTCGTGCTATTGAACACAGTGGTTAGTGAAATTTATTGAAATTTTACAGTGCAGTGATTTCTTGTTCAAACATGTCCTATCTTTTAATACATTGCCCACTCAGTTTGTAGGTATCTTTGGAATATGTGTTGGCACCGCATGTTCTTCACTTCTTTCAGTTACTGTCGGAGGAGCACTACATGTTTAGCAAAATCAAATAGGTTGTCGCTTATTTAGTTCGGGTCTTTTCTACAGAGCATATTGACCACGGTCTACATCAATAGGGTCTATGTAGTGATATGTATTTGCCTTCTGATCCTACAACAATGTGGATAATAATGGCGCTGCCTCCTGGAAGTAATTTAGATAACCAAGTAATAGTAGATAATCATCCATATCTTCTTTCTGTTGGTTGCATGGTCAATTAGCCCAAATATATTATGCAAGGGTTCTAGATGTTCAGCCAATGATCTGTTCCTGATAACGAAAGCTGCAATAAGATGGATAACAAGGACACTGCCTTAGTAGAGTATGGTAATACTAATCAAGCATATGTTCCTTCTATTGATTTTATGCCCGCTTAATCCTACTATTATATTATGCCAGGGTTTGGATGCTCATGGGCCCACATATGTAGAGAAGAAAGCAGATGTGGTGTTCTGGGTTGGCTTTCCTCAGTAAGCTATCATACTTAGTGTTTTCCTCGCTATTTAGTTAAATCTGTGTGCAAAATGATATGTTTTGCCTAATGATTCGTGTTCATGCAACATATTAAAGAATAAAGCAAATATCTATGATTGCAGGTTCCTCCTCCAAGTGCACAAATCGCTGACATAGAAGGATGCCAAGAGTTCATAAACACTGACAAAAATAAAGAGGCCAACACCTGCATCTTAGAACTCAAATAAACCAGATATGTTCACATTTTCTTATGCTATACTGATGTTATCGCCATATCGTCAGCCATATATATTTATTTGTATGTATATTCAAAGATTAGTGGTGATATGGAATTGCTCCCTCAGCTTGTTATCAATATCATGGTATTGTTTATGCTAGAAATTTAAAATTGTAACTCTGCCAAGATCATTGAGAAACAGTGACACCGTTTGCACATGGGACCTTATCTATTTCTTTCTCCTACTATGTCACTATGTTATACCACACCGTGCTTACATAATCTATGACTCCAGTAACACTACATGCTTGTATGTAAAGTTGTATATAATAATGTATTATGTTTCTAGCTTCATAACTTATCTTTTGACATGTCCACGTACCACATCCCAGTAAAAATTATCTATTGCTGGCCCATGTACGACGCGCGTGAGGGCGTGCGCCACATACTAGTCTCTATATATCAAAGCAGTTTGGTTTGGCCGATGCTCCGCCTGGCCACGTCGCTCCAAAATCTCATGGCCGTCAGATCTTCGGTTCAACGGCCCAGATCACTTGGAGTGGATTCTTCCGGGAGCGGCTTCCCGGTCTATTCCTTCACTTTTCCGGATTCCCTCCTGCTTCTCTTTTGCTTCAGCAGCTTCTCGTCCGAAGCTGATCAGACATATATATACACGGCTTCTGCTTCTCATTCCTGAAACTTCTGCTTCATGACCCTTCTCTTCTTCGTTCGATCTCTCGCTCTCTCCCCAACCCGGGCGGCAGCGACGGCACCCTTCCCATGCACGATGCCTGTGCCCCCACGACCGCCGTTCCTGGCCACGGAGCGACGCGGTCTGCTTCCCCTCGGCGCTGCCTCCTCCCGCTGATCTGCTTGGGCTTGACAAAACCCAAGCTGCCTCTTCCTCGCCGGATGCGTCGGCGGTTCCGCTCGGCGGCAAAATCTAGCGGTACGTCACCCTTTTCTTCTCTTCCCTCGTCTCATGGCTCCTACCCCAGATCCCCTCTCCCTCACGGAACCGGCGCGGGCGGGGCGGCGGCGCACTGGCCGTGCCCGCCCCCGACACGGCTGCGCAATCGTGCGGCGTTCACCGCAGGCGCGGCCAGCCCCCTGCGCTACAGCTGGTTCCTCTACTCTACGCGTACACGGTGGCACCCCCTCTGCTTCATTCGCTTCTTGCCGTCTCCCAGCTGAAGCAAGACCATCCCTCTCCTGTCTGTTGCTCCTATTGCGGTTTCCTCTATGTTCCTCTTCTGATCTGTGCTGCAGGTTGAAGGATTCATTCCATTTGTACAAGGAAAGCCATGTGCTTACTCTTAATCTCCATTCCCATCTATCCATCTATTACTCACTACTGCACATATCAATATATCTATTTGCTTCCCTACATTGGGAACACCTGTGTAAATTTGATTTGCAGAGCTGCTCTTCGTTTTCATGGCAGTACACGTTATTTCCCCACTAATCCCCATCCCCATCTCCATATTGTTCACCATATCAGTAGATCTATGAGTGGGTAGCGCTAAACCCCCTTTATGCCCTTTGCTGCTTGAGTTATTTAATTAATGCACTTGGCAAAACTCATCTTCGCGTCGAGGGATGAAATAGTTGTCTTTAATTAATCATGGATATGCAAGTTCCTTTCAGTTATCATTCTATCCCATGCGTTTTCCACCTTCACAGTGTTAGCTTGGTTGCGCTGCAGTTGCCATAGCAATGAGCCACAAAGTTTTGCCTCACATTTTTTCCCTTCAATGTGTAGGTTTCGATGGGCATGGTTATAAAATAGTTGCATTTATTCTGATGTAGATGGTTGTCAGTTTTTTTGAAAGAAAAAAAGGTATGCTTAGTTTCTGGGCCATCTTCCCATAAATATGGAGTTACAATCTATTTGTTTTACCGACATACTTCTTATATTAATACCTGGAGTGCAATATAGACATGTATCTACGTGTACTCTAAATTATACCACCTCT